CAACAGTGTGTGAAAACCTTGTGAAGACTTACAGAAAACGTTTGACCTCTGTCATTGCCAACAAAGGGTATATAACAAAGTATTGAGATTAACTTTTGTTATTGACCAAATATTTATTTTGCACCATAATTTGCAAATAAATTCTTTAAAAATCAGACAATGTGATTTTCTGGATTTTTTTCTTCTCATTTTGTCTCTCATAGTTGAGGTATAGCTAGGATAAAAATTACAGGCCTCTCTCCTCTTTTTAAGTGGGAGAACTTGCACAATTGGTGGCTGACTAAATACTTTTTTGCCCCACTGTATATGGTTAAGGCTACAGGAGTTTTGTAAAAAAAAACAAGTCAAAGTGATCTTGATTTACTTTTATTTATTTGTTACATAAGTGCAAATTGTTTGCATAATTTACTCAATTAATTGTATTAATTTATTGATGTATTTATTTTTAATTAAAAAAATATTGTATTTTATAAAACAGAATAGGTGATGCATATTTTAAAGACATCCCAATAAATGTTAAGGTCTTTTGAAGAGAATATTCCTGTCTTTATGTGAACTGAGCTAAACAAAGTGTTATAAGTTTAAGTCAAAATGTAATTTGTTTACAGTAAACAAAACACAGTATTGTATTGATGTACATTCAAAGTTTTTGCTTTGTAATAAAAGAAAATATTTTAAGCTATAATAAAAAATATTGCCTGCAACAAAATGAAGTATTCTTTTTTTTTTTTTTTCACAAACTTAAAAACTCTACTTAGATCTAATATAAATATGAGGTTAGTCCAAAAGGAAAAATTAAGTTATAACTAAGTTATAAATGTCTTCAGAATGAATCATCTTAATACTTAGTAAATATATATCTTAGACTAGGGGTGCCCAACCTTTTTTGAACCGAGAGCTACTTTTAAAGTTGCCAGTCTGCCGAGATCTACCAGTCCAAATAGAGAGGCGTAGCCATTACTGACAGCCTACTACCAGGTAAATACACCCTTCTACTTGTATAAAACTGACCTTTGTACGATGAATACTTCATAAAATACTGCAGATCCTTTATCTTACCTCTTTCTAATCTACACACATACAAGTATTTAACTGAAGTTACACAACAGTGTTGTTGATACCGAGTTGGAGTTTATCCACACGTCACATACTACAGTGGGTAATGTTTTCAAGAAACATTGAACAGTGCTGCCACATATGACACAGGAAAAAAAGAAAAGACTCTGAACCCTTTCTTTGCCATTATATAACAATAGTTTTGCTACAAAAGTATAAATTAGGCTTACTAATAAAACAACACAGGAATATGCTGCCAAAGTGCAATAAAAAAAAAAAAATTAATAGAATCAAACCCTTTTTTTGTTGCATTTAGTAGAGTATAAAAAGAAATGCCTTTAAAAAAATAGGATGCAAGTAACACTAGTTTCTTAACCTGAATTGATGATAGACTATAATCAATTTAAATTTGCATTCTTATACCATTTTGTACAATAATTATAATGAATAAGTTCAAACAAACAAAAACTTACAGCTGATTAATAACGGTATCTAACTTGAGTTTTTATTATATCAAAAACCTGTTGAAATGCTTCTGTTATTTTTACTGTCCCCAAAAAGCGCGTCGGTAGCCTCCAGGAATGCTTCTTTCACAACTTCGCCATCTTTGAAAGACTTCATGTGTTACGCAAGAACGTGACTGACACGATAAGATGCTCTGGTAGCAGCCTTGCTCTTGTTGTTGGGCCTGGTGAAAATGGACTGCTGTGCATTTAGCTGTCCTTTCAGGTCCCTCCCCTTTTGGAGCGTAGGGCAGAATTAGGAGGGAATTCCGTCTCGTAGCGTTTGTGCACTGTTTTGAAATGCCGCTCCTAAATTACCCTTCTTCGATAAAGCCACGCTCGCATTGCAGATGAGACAGATGGACTTTGAATTGGAATAGATACAAAAATAATCATCCTCCCACTCGGAGTGAAAATTATATATTTTGGGCTTTTTTGCTTCTGCCATAATTGCGGTCTTGTGTGTGTGCGGACTGTCACTCCTGTTGACACGGACAACGTCAGCGAAATAGTGCCCACTGCCCACCAGCCACGCCCCCACACATGGGGTCACGCCGGCCAATCACAAAGCTTTGGTGCGTTCAAGTGCATTATTCTGGCACAGGAAGATTATGTTATAGGAGATTAACGATAAAACAGAATATTGTTGTTCTATTTTTAGACACATCTCGCGATCGACTGGGAATCTCCCCGCGATCGACCGGTCGATCGCGATCGACTGGTTGGGCACCCCTGTCTTAGATGGAAGCAATATTTTTTACTTGACTCAAATAAAAAATGTTAGGTCAAAAAATTAAGTTGGAATAAACTAAAAAAATTAGCTGTAAAAAATTAGCTGTAACAAATTAGCGAAACATTTTTAAGTTAGTCCAAAGTATCAATTTTTTCAGTGTGGGGTCATTTTGCTGGTGCGCGATAGCACCGTTTTACCCGTCAAGTTGGCTCTTTGAGAAACATGTTAACAAGGAGAATCAATTTACACAAGCGTGTAAATTGGTGTAAATTGGTGTCTGGGCGCAGGCTGTGATAATGGACTTTCCACTTTTTTTTGTGGACACATCACGCACTTACAATAAATGTACACCTTTGACCTTTTTATTCAGCAGTGGCAGTTTTAAAGTGTTAAAAGACTCAAGAATCAATAGCAAGTCACTCTTTCCCACTTGATGAAAGTGTTAAAACTATAAAATGCTCTATCATTGATCGCAATCTAGCCGTCAGGAGTTTGTTGAAAATAGAAGATTTGCCAATTTGGGGTTTCTGAGAAGACTTAATCAGGCCTTTCATCTGCTGCGATTCACTCAAAACAAAAAGCATGAGTAAGAATCTGCCACTTCAAAAGTGAGATGGAGATAATTTCCTTTTGTTAAAAAATCACCACCACATATTTTAATTTACAGCTTACCAAGAAATGTAATTGTGATATTCTGCTGTTTTAAATATGTAGTCCAAATGCATGCAGAGAACAAATATCTCTATGTTAATTCTAGAGCCGAGTCACCTTCTTCTTTGTTAAATGGCAAATAACATTTAGATGGGAAACTGGTGATGCCTTGTGTGCTCTGATCTGGGAGATCACAATGACAAGTGTTTCATGGGCTGTATAATCAAAGTGTTCTTATTTATAGTAATGTTGAAGTTTAAAAGAAAAAAGTGGCCTTATCTTCATTCATCAACATATTTATGTTTAGCTGTTCAGGGGCGGTTCTAGGGGTGCGGTTCTAGGGGTTCTAGGCATGCCCCCCTAACACTGACTTTGGACCCCCCTGTGGCCCCCCTAAAAATGAAAAAAATAAAACGGACGGCTGACGGAATGTGCGGAAGTAACGATATTTGTCATTCTAGTCGGACCCATTAGAGCAGGGGTCTCCAACACGTCGATCACGAGCTACCGGTATCTCGCAAGCCCTCAATAGCCCCCACTTTACAAATATGTTTTTTTAATCTTTTTAAATGTAACGCAAGCCGTCATCGCCACGGAGGAGCACACAGCCTCTGTGAGCGAGCGAGACAGAGAGAGCTAGAGAGAGCACACCTTTATCTATTTAATGTGTTGTAAAAAATAGAGAAATCATTCCAATGTGTACTATAGGACAGTAAAAAAAAAAAAACAGTTTGAAAGGGGAGTGATTAGTAAAATATGCATTAAAAAAAAGAAAGAATACTAACTATAGGTAACATAAGATAAGAATAAACTAGTTTAAATGATTTGTTATTGGTTGTGATCATATTCTAAAGATGTTTTGAAAAGTATACAGCTCTCTTTTATATGAGTGTTGAGAGCTGTATCCATAAATTCATTTTGTGCTCAAAGTGCACCAGATTGATGCATTTAACTTCAACATTTCAAAAAAAATCTTCCCGGGCCCTAGAGAAGGTTAGGTCCACCTAATAAAGCAGGTTCAAATAATTAAATTGCATACATTTTCTTTTAGTAAACACTGAAAACGGGTCCCACAGACCCAAACAACACACAAAGGTAAGCATATAATAATGTGTAATGAAACAAATACCAATAACTGTATTGCATTGTTTTCTTTCATACTGTCTTTGTCTTTTTTGTCCTGAATTTATTGTGCCCCCCTCAGAAAATAACTGGCCCCAGCCTGGACCCCCAGTCAAATTGGTCTAGAACCGCCACTGTAAACTGTTGCAATGTTAAGCTGCAAATTATCATCTAAAGTGCGCTTAACAGTGAGACTGGAAACAAAAAGCTTTTAGATCTCTCAAACTTTTTTTCCTGTACATATTCAGTCCTGCGTTTTGCTAGCTTGTCAAATTGCCAAGATACTTCCACCTGACAACAAGTGCATGATTATATTTGTTATGTAAATGTATCCAACTCTGGGGGAATGAGTAAGTATCGTATACAAAATACATTTCAAATTCCTTATCAAAGCTAAGCTAAGTCGGATATTATTATAAAAACTGAATTTTTAGACATTATTTATATATTATTAATTATGATTGTGGAGCTAACAGAGAGCTTAAAGAAATTAATGCAATAACGAGCATTTGATACCTATACCATTGCAATTCCATGGTCAGGTAAAAAACGAAATAATAAATTCCATGTATTTAGGAAGTTAACAGGTCATATTTCCATCTATAGTATCTTATATGGCTGCGAAAACCCTTCCTTCTAAATAACCAAAATGTATTCAAATGTTTTGCCACAACCTTAACAACATCACATTCGAACACGTAATTGAACATTAGCCTTCATCCAATACTAATTTTAACTGAATTAATTTTGAATAATGTACCTTCATGAAATCTAAATCAGAAAATGTAAGTTAGCTCCATGATTTAGGAAAGCAGAACTGTGCTGCTAACAGCTAACGCTAACTAGCTCTCCCTATTCCAAAATGCAGCATTCTGCGGGGAACATAGTGTGCATTATTCTTGAGTCTCAATGTACCTGAGGAAAAACCGGCTTACCTTCTCTCCCAGGGCCCGGAGGCTGTCCAGGAAGCGTGGCCAGAAGTCCTTAAAAAGTGGACGGTCAATCTTCTTCAGACTGTCTTTGGTGCTGGCGTCCACACTGACATACAGCTGGGTGACTGGCACAAGGCTCCTGGAAAGAGTAGAACATATGGAGGAGAAATGAGGGTAGGAATAATAATGAACCTAAGTGGCATTTAAACGCTTTGCTAAAAGCAACATTCATTGCACAGACTGGAATGGCAAATTAAGTGGGCAGAGGAGGAGGAAGCTTCTCATCAATATTAAATAATTTAAGAAGACATTAACTTGTGTGCATTTAGCTGCAGTGAGGGACAATCAGGATTAGCAGGAGGATGCACAGGATTATTAAACACTACCAGAAAAGTATCAAAAATTCACACAACTGAAACAAGAACAGCAATAGTCCCTAATGCTTCTTACTTTTAGATGAGAAATTAAAAGATATGCTGTGCTAAGAGAGGCCATTATGTAGCGATGCAAAAACAAACCAAGTAGCCAAACAAGCAACGAGACAGGGGTCTTGAAATTCAGCTTGTTCTACTATAGGAGAATTCCACTGATCTAAGCATTACAGGAGGAGAGACTCAACAAACAGCTCAGCTCCTCTCCAACCAGGAGGCTCTGAAGACAGGGAAGAGAAAGGCTGATGGGTACTGTTATTCCAGCAGAGGCAGGGTTTCCCACACAGACTTTACTTGGGCGGGCCGCCCAGGTATATTAACGGCCGCCCAAGTATATTTCGCGACCCATTTCGTTTTTTTTATGTATTGTGAACGCAACGCTGCGCAAATGTGGGTCTGCCTCACACAGGGTGACTGGCTTTCCACATGACTGTGGCCTGCCGACATGGCCACTGTCATACAGATCATAAATCAAAGCCCTCGATTGGTCTGTGTGTCATTCAAGCTCGGGATAACCTCAGCTCAGGTGAGGTAAAGGACTCTCTGAGTGTTTAGATAGTTAACTTAGTCTAAGTTCTCAGTGGGTCTCAAACGGTTTGGTAACACATATTTCCATTTGAGGGGCTAGTGATTAGTCAAATATGCATGAATAAAAAAAAAGAGTTAACTAGGTGGAAAAAGGTAAGATACACTTTTAAAACTTGTTGAGAGCTAAAACTAGTCTTTGCTGCTGCCTCAAAGAGGAGCAGGGGGAGAGGGGGGAGAGGAGGGAGACAGGAGAGGCTGATTCAGGAGCCCAGACACACTCACAACTATAAATGAACCAAAAATAAATAAATAAACAAGTTTCAGTGGATATAGTATGCTATTGGTTATGGCCATGATTTTATGATTATTGAAATGTATACAGTTCTGTTTCATGGGTGTTCCCATAGATCTAGTCTCTTTATTTCCCCCTCTAAATGCACCAGATTGATGCATTTAAATCCAACATTTAAAAATAAATCTTACCGGGGGAGTATGCCCCTAGAGGATTTGAGGTCCACCCCCACTTAAAATCACATGGACAGGTTCCTAAATACATTTACAATTTTATTTAAATAGTAACCCATGTCCATATATGTATTTGTGGGTAGTAGATTTAAACTATAGGGCTATCACTATGGGCGGCAACACTGTAAATATTGACAAATAAATCCAGCAAAATGGCACAAAAAAAAGTGGCCTGGCTGGGTGTATAATTTCCGGCCTGACTTAGGCTGGAGCCACACGAGGACGACAACGCAAACGGACTGAAATCGTTATCAAAAAAGTTTTCCGTCCACACGCAATAGGCACCAGAAACGTGTCCGTTCACATGTGACCGCTCGAAAGCGCTGGAGACGCAGTAGTACATATGCCAGGCCTGTAAGTGGCGCTACTGCCACAAAATACACCAAAAGCAGCGAAGAAGACTTCTCACGCATGCATGGTTGCCATGGTCGCCCTTCTGTTTATTCTCCATGCTGGATTTAGCAGCAGAGGTGGGGTTTCGCCGGTCAACATCTCCGTTAAAGTTTAAATCTTCCGGACAAAATTAGAAAAGTGCCGGTCAAAGGTCTTCTTTGTTATTTATTGAGCTTTAAAACAAACGAATAACGACTCTATATAATAATATAAGAATAATACACGGAGGACGGAGCCTCTCTTTTCCTCCCCCTCTCCTGACAGATCCAGTAATGGGTGACCCGACAGTAAAAATAAACATATTTATAATTAGTTTAGGTAGTTTGAGAGGTAATTAAAATAGCTAAGGGTGATGATCTAACTTGAAGTGTGTGTTTTGTTCCGCTCATCGCTCCATCACAGCGGGCGGAGCTGCAGGTTATCATGCAGAGCTGCGTGTCTCCTCACCTGTCCGATAAGACTTCACTCACGTTTATGTCCATATCGATCAAATCTAGCTGGAAGCTCCTGCTGGGTGCACTGCGAGATACCGGGACCTGCCTCGAAACACTGGGGCTATTGCGTCATCGTTATCAGGAAATGATCGTATAGGCGTAAACACGGAGCCGTTTGCCCCCACAGAGCGTTTTGTTTGCAGGTCTACCCACCTTGGGACCCGTTATCGTTGTATGCGTTTCCCTGTCGGCCTCGTGTGTGGCCTAACCGTCTATGTGATAGAGAACTCTAGCAGATACGACCGTTATCAACCTCGTGTGGCTGCAGCCTTATTGTCTCGGTCCGGCCCTGCCTGTACCTGTTCGCTCTGCCATCGCGTGAAGGGTCTGCTCACAAGCGACCAACAGAAAGGTTAATGTTATTGTTGCACGTCACCTCACACACCCCAAGTATATTTCAGATCTGTGGTAAACACTGAGAGGTATTTGACATCTCAGTCTGTGACGTGGAAGTTAGCTGACATATTATTGATTATGTCGGGGAGTGTCTCGATAAACCTGGACTACTCGAGATTTGTGGTCAATATGATGCGGAGTGACAGAAACCAAGGTAAACATATTGACATTTATATATTTCATGTTTAATGTAAACAGCCTAATTAAGCTTTTTTTTTGTTATCTCAAATCTTATGTCATCAATAAACTTTATTTTACTGTTCTTCTCTTCTTTTCTGGTACCAGATTCATCAAAACCTAAAGCCTTGTATATGGGTGAAGATTTACAATGCAACATTTAAAGGTCACCTATCATGCTATTTTTAGGCAATAGCATACAGTAGGTCTCAGATATATACAAATATATAAAAAACATGTCTATGAAGTGTTTTGTTCAAAATACCAAACAGATCACCCATTCTAGCCATGCCTCATATCCCTCTATTTCACTTCCTGTTTCTAAAGTGCTGATTTGGGGTATAAAGCTTTTTTTTTAAAAAATTTTTAAAAAAGTATAATAAAAAAAGGAGGGGGCTGAGCTCATGTGGGAGATTCTACCGGCAAATATTGCGGTGATGAAACGCCATATCATGGATTATCAAGGATTATTTCTGAAACAGTATGGAGCTCAACGGCTTTCTCTCTTGCCGGTTATACCACAAGGCGAGTTCCTTTTTATTTCCTGCTTCTTCACACACATGCTGTGCAGTACAGATTATCTCTGAGTGTTAGCAATGCTAATGTAAACACTGACCATATTACGTCCAAAACAGTCGGGCATTGTTTCTGATAGCAACGTATTTGATAGGGCCGTGAGTGTAAAGCCAGCCTACATTTCCGATATTACGTCATATCGGACGCAAATCTGGATCAGCTCCGTTGTAGCCCCGTTTTTAGAGATTTGGTTATGGAGGAAAAGAGAGAGGGTTTTATTTTCTGACGCTGCGTGAGTTCCCTGACACACCGGGGACACATAGTTATGTATAAAAGACATAAAAAAAGTGCGTTTTGCATGATAAGTCCCCTTTAAGAGAAGTCCTATGGGGCATTGTTTAAAGGAGCCCTATTTTGTTCATTTTCAGGCTGGCTCTTTTGTGAATGGTCAAGCACTTAGAGATCTCCCGCCCCTTAGCCCTTTCATATACAATGTGTTGTAGCGCTAGCCAATTAAAATCAATGTTTTATGGCATAATTTAGTTTAAACATACCGTCAGCTTAAAAGCTGTTTTATTCTGAAAAAAACGGAAGTTCTCGCACAATCTTAATGCCAAGCTTTTATTCTGAAAATCCTTCTTCTCCGGTTAGCATTTAGCATGTGGCTAATATTACGTCTTCTAGAAATATGAATGTGAAATGACACGGAGTGTTGCACACCAAAACCTACTGATTTTAACACTACATCTATAGACGTCGAGATATTATTATTGCTGAATATTAAATGAAGGTACAGTTTATTTGAATACGTTTTGTTTACAGACGTGAGGGTATGACGACATCCGGGGCTACTGTAAATGATAACTGCCGCAAAGTACTTTCAGTATTTCTAAAGTGACTATTATAGCCGTTATAATGCAATAAATAAAAAGTCATGAAAGAGATAAGGAGGAGAAAAGGCGTGTGGAAGTAAGCAATGGACATTGAAGAATAAGGCGGGCGGGCCCCCCTTCTTCACAGCACAGAAGAGGATAAAAGGGGACGGCTGAGAACAGCTTGGCCTCTCTCCTTCGCTGCAGCCACATCAGAGACAACGCCGGCTTTTGTCTCTTCATTACCTTCTGCTTGTTCTATTACCACGTTACTTAATTAAAGTACCCATTTGAACCTTCTCAGAGACTCCATTGGTCTCCTTATTTTAAGTTTCTCTCCTGGAAGCGAGAGGAGCATCACAGTTTTCTTCTAAGTGATGTCACTATGTCACGGAAGTTAACAAAGGATTCCAAATGAGGTTTTTTTATGCGGGCAGGGCATGGGGCAGAGGGGAATGCGAGAGAAACTCCCTAAGGAGGTAACACAGGGATTTTAGCCTTTGCAGACCATTTACATGCACAGAAACTTATAGAACAAACTACAGAAGAGGGAAAACCCCAAAAAGCATAATAGGGCCCCTTTAAATAAGATATAGCATCACACACACACAGATTTACTGTGGTGACACTTCTTTTGAACATTTTGATTTTTTTCAAATTCCTTATGTGTGAGTTTTTTTGTGGAGCTAGCAGCAAGTATTTATAAGTGGAAATGGTTTATTAAGCACTCGAGCAAAGGTACCAAATGCATTATGATGGTTTGAAAAGGGCCAGTTCACTCAAATTACAGAACACTCACTTGTCCTAAGTGGCACCTGCTCATGCACAATGTTTGTTGTGCGAAGGTTTTGATCTGCAAGATTCTGAAACCGATACAACTGAAGCTAATGCACTAAAAGTTTAATTTGACTACATATTGCTGATTCGTTATTTAAAGCCTAACAAACAAACAACTCTAACCAACAAAAAGTATTTTACCCTATTGTTAGAGGACACACAACACTCATAATTGTGGAGGCCAAACCTTTGATCTTCCCTGCTGGGGAACAATATAACTGCTGAGACACACTCCAACTACTTCAAACAGCTTGCCAAGGCAGAAAGTACAAATATATTACAGGAACATAATGAGCTGAAACAGATTGGCTGGAAGGAATATTTTGAGAGAAGAAATAAATAGAAACAACCCCCCCCCAAAAAAATTATCTGTGTGTCTCTTTCACCCCTACCTGATCTCCTTAGGAAACTGTGCATTGGTGACCAGGAAGCTGGAGATGTGATGGGTGTGGAGGAGGCGGATGAAGGTGTTGATTTCGGGGTACATGATTGGCTCCCCCACAAGGGAGAGGGCACAGTGTTTGACTGCCAAGCCCTCCTCGTAGCGCTCAGGCTTCACTCCTGGGACACCTGGAGGGGGGGAAGGAACAGATGATTGTTTTCATGCTAATCCACCTTCAACTCAATCAATGTCTCCCACCAATAAAAGCATCACAACAAGTAAGCCTCACACGGTATTTTTACCTGTTTTTAGAAGAATAAATGGTCAAACCAACTCCATACGTGGAGTGGATTGGATTTTTACACCAGTGTTGCTACCAGTGTTTATGCCTACAGCTGTGATAGTCGCTGATTAAAGTCCCCAAACCGACATGCCCTTGAGCAAGGCACTGAACCCTAACAGCGCTCCCCAGGCGCTGTAAATATGATAGTTGTCCACTGTTCCTAATAGTAGCAATAGTTTAATGCTGAATCTGGGGCAGGCGGTATCTCAGTCTGTAGAGGCTTAGCTTGGGAACCATATGTCACCGGATGGTCACTGTGTAAATAAAGAACATGTTGTGTGTCCTGGTAGTGGAAAAGGTGCCAGATCACTTTTTGGGTGTACCGGGTGTCATTGAGCAAGACACAGAACCCCCAGCTGCTCCAGGGCGACAACACCTGGCAGCCCCTTTGCTCTGACACCTCTCCATTAATGCATGTTTGTATTTCAACTATTATAAAACAGCTGAATTTCCCCTAGGGGAATCAGAAAGTATGCCTTCTTAAATCAAAAGAGCACCAAGTAAAGAAAAACAGTGGGAAGGAACAGCATGAGGTCAGGGTTTGAAGTGAGGTCAAACTGAGTAATTACCAATAGGGACAGGAGAGACGTGTGGTGGTCATGAAACATGAGCAGAAGAAAGGGGAGATGGGGAAAGTTGGAGCTCTGGGAGTCGGGCCTGAAGCCCAGACTGTCTCCTCCTCCCCCTCTCTCCTTCTTTCCACTGGGTGGTCTTGGACTCTCCTAGTGCTCAGTGGATCTCCATGCAAAGACCAACAGGTGCTGTTAAAATACGCCCAACATAAGTTCTGAGTATGATAATGAATGTTATGAAGTGTAATAGACTGCTGCTATTAACCTTTAAGATTACTACGTATATTGAATTTTAAAAAGACCACATGAAATTAATTTAAGAGGAGAGGAATCACGTCTCAGTTTTATCATCCAATTGAGGAAAATCCATAATTGGACCACGACCACAGGCCGCCATAATGACATAGATTTGATGCATAGGATTAAACTAAATTAGATTAATGATGTGTCATTAGTTGAATATGTAGATGTGTATAAACCATGTTTAATTAAGTCTCTTTCTCTGGGGTTGGCAATGGTGGAGAGGTAGGGGATGTGAAATAAGTTAACAGAAGAAAAGTTCATATAAGAGTGCTGACAGTAAAAGTATTAAATGCTGGCAAGATTTTGATGGAGACAGGGAATAAACAAAAAGTGGAAGCTTAGGGGGAAAGAGTTTCATACACTGTCATGGGGATTTGATGTAATACATCTAAAGTCAAAGCAGATGCTATTTAATTTAAAATACATGCACTTCAGATGCTTTATAACACCTTCTATGAATAATTGATAAGTTTGAAACATTTTGTAAGGATGAACCATAGAAAGCACCTGTTACCGTGCCACTCTTCAAGGGTAAACCATACAAAGGAACAGCTGCTAACCACAGGAGCAAACCCACTGAACTCTGGGAGAACAGAAGAATGGTGCACGTGTGTGAAACCTCATTAAATGTACCATATAATAATAATAATAATAATACATTTATTTTGTTAGCGCTTTTACAGGTGCTCAAAGACGCTTTACAGTTATAGTGAAAAGAAAAGAAAAGAAAGGAACAACAAATAAATATATAGTTAAAGTTAAAGTCAAATAATACAAAAACAATCACACATTAAAAGCCAGATTGAAGAGGTGAGTTTTTGTGAGTTTTTTTAAGGTGGTGAGGTCAGTGCAGTTTCTGATGGGTTGTGGGAGTGAGTTCCAGAGGGAGGGGGCTGCGACGGAGAAGGCTCTGTCCCCCCAGGTCCGGTGATTGATGTGGGTGGGGATGGATAGGAGGTTGGCTTCTGATGAGCGGAGGCAGTGGGAAGGGGTGTGGTGGTGCAGCAGGTCTGTGAGGTAGGGGGGGGGGCCTGATTGTTGAGGGCTTTGTGAGTAATGAGGAGGACTTTGAAGTTGATTCTTTGACGGACGGGGAGCCAGTGGAGGTTCTGGAGGACGGGAGTGATGTGGTCTCGGGAGCGGGTGAGGAGGAGGGCAGCAGAGTTCTGGATATGTTGGAGTTTATTGAGGAGGTTGGATGGTATGCCGTAGAGCAGTGTTTCTCAAACTTTTTCATACCAAGGACCACTTAACCAATAAAAAAACACTCACGGACCACCTAACTCCACAAATATAAAAAAACACATAGTTTTTTACAAATCGCCTGAAACACAGTACTCGGTACAAACAAGTGGCAACATGTGTGATGAAGGTGTTTATCTGGGCTATATCATGCAATCGAAAGTTAAACTTAAGCTCGCTCCATTGCGGATATATTCCCGCGAGAGTGCGGAAAACTTAAATAAATACATTTATTTCAAATGTGAAATTTTACCAATATACTCACGTAGAGGACGCTATTGCAGTAGTTGAGTCGTGAAGTGATGAATGCATGAATCAGGGTTTCAGCAGCAGAGGAGGAGAGTGATGGGCGGAGACAGGCAATGTTTTTGAGGTGGAAAAAGGCGGTCCTGGTGATGTGATTGATGTGGTGGTTGAATTTGAGCTGACTGTCGAAGATGACTCCGAGGTTGCGGATGTGAGGGGGGGAGATCGAGTGTGGCTGTCAAGTTGAAATTCTGGATGGCTTTGATACGGGATGGGGGGCCGATGACGAATGTCTGATTTGGCACTGTTCAGTCGGAGATAGTTTGTTTGCATCCATGCTTTTATTTCTGAGAGACAGTTGGTGAGAGTGGAGTGTGTTGTGGGGGTGATGGGTTTTTGTTGAGATATAAAGTTGGATGTCATCGGCGTAGCAGTGAAATTGAAGGTTGTGGCGACTAATTATTTTGCCAAGGGGGAGCATGTAGAGCAGGGGTGCCCAACCTTTTTTGAACCGAGAGCTACTTTTAAAGTTGCCAGTCTGCCGAGATCTACCAGTCCAAATAGAGAGGCGTAGCCATTACTGACAGCCTACTACCAGGTAAATACATACTTCTACTTGTATAAAACTGACCTTTGTACGATGAATACTTCATAAAATACTGCAGATCCTTTATCTTACCTCTTTCTAATCTACACACATACAAGTATTTAACTGAAGTTACACAACAGTGTTGTTGATACAGAGTTGGAGTTTATTCAAACGTCACATACTACAGTGGGTAATGTTTTCAAGAAACATTGAACAGTGCTGCCACATATGACACAAAAAGAAAAGACTCTGAACCCTTTCTTTGCCATTATATAAAAATAGTGTTGCTACAAAAGTATAAATTAGGCTTACTAATAAGACAACTCAGATCTGAAGCTACACAGGAATCTGCTGCCAAAGTGCAATAAAAAAGACAACATTAATAGAATCAAACCCTTTTTTGTTGCATTTTAGTAGAATATAAAAATAAATGCCTTTAAAATAGGATGCAAGCAACACTAGTTTCTTAACCTGAATTGATAATAGACTATAATCAATTTAAACAGAACAGATCTTAATGTGTGCATTCTTATACCATTTTCTACAATAATTATAATGAATAAGTTCAAACAAACTAAAACTTACAGCTGATTAATAACAGTATCTAACTTGAGTTTTTATTGTATCAAAAACCTGTTGAAATACTACTGTTATTTTTACTGTCCCCCAAAAGCACGTCGGCAGCCTCCAGGAATGCTTTTTTCACAACTTTGCCGTCTTTGAAAGACTTCATGTGTTTCGCAAGAACGTGACTGACACGATAAGATGCTCTGGTAGCAGCCTTGCTCTTGTTGTTGGGCCTGGTGAAAATGGACTGCTGTGCATTTAGCTGTCCTTTCAGGTCCCTCACCTTTTGGGAGCGTAGGGCAGAATTAGGAGGGAATTCCGTCTCGTAGCGTTTGTGCACTGTTTTGAAATGCCGCTCCTAAATGACCCTTCTTCAATAAAGCCACGCTCGCATTGCAGATGGACTTTGAATTGGAATAGATACAAAAATAATCATCCTCCCACTCGGAGTGAAAATTATATATTTTGGGCTTTTTTGCTTCTGCCATAATTGCGGTCTTGTGTGTGTGCGGACTGTCACTCCTGTTGACACGGGCAATGTCAGCGAACTAGTGCCCACTGCCCACCAGCCACGCCCGACACATGGTGTCACGCCGGCCAATCACAAAGCTTTGTTGCGTTCAAGTGCATTGTTCTGGCACAGGAAGATTATGTTATAGGAGATTAACGATAACACAGAATATTGTTGTTCTATGTTTAGACACATCTCGCGATCGACTGGTTGGGCACCCCTGATGTAGAGGATGAAGAGGAGGGGGCCAAGCACCGAACCCTGGGGGACGCCTTGGGACAGAGGAGCAGTGGAGGAGGTGCAGTTGTTGATGTTGATAAACTGATGTCTGTCGCTGAGGTAGGATTTCAGCCAGGAGAGTGCAGTGTCGGTGATGTTGAGTGATGATTCGAGGAGGGACAGCAGGATGGCGTGGTTGATGGTGTTGAATGCTGCGGTGAGGTCGAGGAGGATGAGGATGTTCAGGTTGCCGGAGTCAGAGGAGAGGAGGAGGTCGTTTGTGATTTTCAGAAGAGCTGTTTCTGTGCTGTGTTTTGATCGGAAACCGAATTGAAATGGCTCAAAGAGGTCATTGGAGCTGAGGTGGGATTTAAGTTGTGAGGCAATGACACGTTCAAGTATTTTTGACGGAAAGGGGAGATTTGAGATGGGCCGGAAATCAGACATGATGTCAGGTGTGAGTCCAGGTCTTTTGAGAATGGGTGTGACAGCAGCCAGTTTGAGAGAAGGGGGAACTGATCCAGATCTGAGGGAGGAGTTAATGATGGTGGCGATGAGTTGGGAGATGGCAGGGAGGCTCTCTTTAACAAATGTGG